CATAAAGAAAATTTTTCGGGAATAAAGAGAATTTTTCAAGTATTTAAAGGAATAGTTTTTACATTTAAATAGAGAAAAAAGGAGAGAGAAAGGGAGAGAGAGAGAGGAAGAGAGAGAGGGAGACTAAAGGGACTCTTTATTCTAATATACCATTAATAACGAGCTAAAATGCGTCATTAGTGTTCTTGTTATAATACTAATATTATTGATATGTTCCGTCGAAAATCTTTGCATTTGTTTTATTATAGCAAATGGTATCGTATATTGAATTACTGGTCGGACCGTAATATCTCGGGTCCGAAACCCATACCATATTTTGGCAATACTTTACGTCCGATCTTAAAAGGCAAAGAATGCGTTGATATGGAGTGGTATAAGACTTTCGGGCAATTCTACGGGTAATCATTAGATATTGATTTAATAAATTCATATAAAAAGATACTTTCAATACAAGTGTTTTAAAACAATAAATCTTTATAACTGAATAGGGTTTATGAGTTGGCAAAACCCTGTCTACGTGTGTCGGACCCGGTGCTCATCAAACAGATTCTGGTGAAAGACTTTTACAAATTCCGTAACCGAAAGAAAAACTCCGTTGCGGACAAAATTGCCGTTTTTAAAAACACACTAAACCGGGCCAGAGATGGCCACTGGAAACGCATCCGAGCGCTAATCAGTCCGACATTCACTTCGGGTAAACTCAAACACATGTATCCACTTATCAACGAGTGTTGCCGTGACTTCTTGGCCGCACTCGACAGAGACGTGTCCACCGGTCGGACAGAAGTGGATGTAAAGCAATTGATGGGCGCCTATACTATGGATGTGATCGCCAGCACAACTTTTAGCACCAAAATCAACCCCTATTCCAATCCGAACAATCCATTTACATCCAAATCAAAAGCAGTGTTTACTGAAAGACCAGTCTTGACATTTTTATCATTGATTTTACCAAAATTTATCATAAATAATAATTTGTGGAAAATTATGGTAAAAGATCCGGAAGTCGCCACCAGATTTTTTATAGACTTTTCAATGAATTTGATATCAGAGCGCAAAAAGTCTGACAACAAACACAACGATTTTTTGCAACTTCTAATAGATGCGGAAAAAGAGGACAATAACACGACGACGACTACGGGTGCGGACTCTGTGGCCAGCGATGCACTGGAAGGACATTACGTGAACGACGGCGTCGATCAACTGATGGCAGAGAAACAGGCGTTGAGTGGAGTCGAGGAGAAAAAGTTGACTACAGATGAAATTCTTGGGCAATGTTTTCTATTCTGTGCCGTCGGTTATGAAACAACGGCCAGTACTCTGTCGTATTGTTTGTATGAGTTGGCACTCAATCCCGATATTCAGGACCTATTGGTGGCGGAGACTAAAGAGGCGTTCAATGAAAACACGGCAGACATAGACTACGAAACCCTTTGCCGACTCCCACTCCTCGACGCCGTTATATCGGAAACTCTTCGCAAATATCCGCCAACTCTTAGACTGGAGAGGGAGGCCATGGAGGACGTGATGTTGACCAGAGATACCGATGGATCAATGTTTAAAATTGAAACTGGAGTTCCTCTAGAGATATCGGTGTATGCCATACATCACGACCCCGATCACTATCCCGACCCCGAGGCCTTCAAACCCGACCGGTTTTTGCCTCAATATTGCCATCACATCAAACCCTATACATACCTACCCTTTGGCGACGGACCCCGTAATTGCATTGCTATGCGCTTTGCATTACTTATAGCCAAACTAGTGTTGGCCAAAATGATACAACAATTCCGGTTATCTCGAGTGCCCGATACGGATGTGCCCATTATTTTCAATTCAGGGCCAACTCTATTACATCCTACAAGGCTTGTGCTCGGAGTTGAAAAGAGTTAAAAGCAAAAGTGATTTAATTGATAATTTAATATAAATTTATAAATGTTTAGCAATTATTAAAAATTAATCAAGAATTTTAATTAAATATTATTTGTAAAACGCCTAATCTGGTTTATTTTTATAAATGAATTAAAATTATTTAAAAATACGGTATTATTGCTCAGACAGTAAATTATGTATGCCATATATTTTGCGCAAAATAATTTACGACTATTATCTATAAATTATAAATAATAATATAAAATAAAATTGCTTTCAATAATTTTACATAAAGCTCATCAAGATGTTAACCTAGTCATATAATTATACATAAATTGCATACCCAATTTACTTACATAAGCAAATAACAGATATCACTATTGCAACAAGCAATTGGCAATCTGCCAACTTTATCATGTTTATAAAAATATAAAAAAGTAAACACTGTCATTTTTATTTAAGCAGAGTTATCAACTATTTTTATAAAAATTATAATAATTGAATAATAACAAATTTACTTGGTGATATTCAGTTATAGTTTACAAATAAAAAACTATCTTGATACTGTTTGTTTAACAATGGGCTCTGTATTAGACAAAAGCCAAACAACTTATGACAAAACTATTACAGAAATCAAATTATTTCACGTGTTTGACGACATCCAGGGCTACAACGCGTTGTATGTGACCCACGAAGACCTGGTCTACGGCTTGGGCTCTAACTATTGGGCGACACTTGGCTTCGGACACAACCGGGCGGTGAAAACACCGCAACTTATACCGCAATTAAGCCAACAAAACATACGGCAATTCATCAATGGTTGCGATTTTGTTACCTGTATTAACAGCGACCGGGACTTCATATACAGCTGGGGCTGTAATAGTAGGGGTCAGTTGGGTCGAGAGCAACCGGTCAACGATTTCCTGACCCCCGACATCGTACCGGTCCTCATCGGGAGTGGTATTCAGCAAATATGTTGCGGTAATTATCACGGGTTGGCCCTTACAAGCGAGGGCCGGGTGTGCGGGTGGGGCGACAACATGTTTGGTCAGGTTGGTTGCGGTCAGAGCACCGGCCCTTCAAACGAACCTGTGCCGCAACAGATACAGTTCAACCACGATGGTATGGAGCACATCATACAGAGAGTATACTGTAGCGCATACTCATCCTTTGCCATCACAACGGAGGGCCTGGCGTTCAGTTGGGGTCGAAACGAGTTTTATAACCTTGGTCATAATGTAACGGCAAATCTATACAAACCTATGGCTATCACAGTCGTTACCGGACCCATACAAACTGTCCGCACCTATCGCTACGAGACACTTATGCTGGCCAGTGATGGTCGGGTGCATTATTGCGGACAATTTCTCAACGCTAATAAACAATACGTAATTGAAAAAGTCCCCAAGGTAATGAATCAAGCTAGAAAGTGCCAGTGCCTGTATTTATTATCATCGTATCAAAACAATGGCTATTGTTTTGTGACCAAAATAGATGGTAAAGTGTTTATTATTACTCAGCCTATCACTGAGCCTGATAATTTTGTCGAAACTTATCATGGCCGTATTGTAGACTTTTACCTGGAAGTCAGTTTAGATATTATGGACATAAATTATAAAACAATTAACCTGGACAAATACGGTGCTAGCGACCATGTGGTGCCCAAATGTAGACAATTGTTGCGCAAAGTTTTTGCAAATATACAATCAATAAATGGTATGAAAAGGAAATTAAACTCAAAATAAAGTTATAATAAATTTTGACAACTTATGTACTTTAGATGTCGGTAGAGATGACTTAACCACACGTGATATAACCACATCCAATCCGTGTTATAGTGAGTACACGCCGATAGGCTCCGGGGGTTTCGGCACTGTATTTAAAGTTCGCCACAAATACACTAAAGAGGAATTTGCCGTAAAAATGATTGACTTTGCATGTATGTAAACAATTCACCTAACCATGCTCAAATATTTTTCATTACTAATTACCTACACATCAGCCAAAGTCCACGTGGACGACCAAGCGCAATTTCTCAAGGAGCTAAACAGCCTGGTCAACACCCGATCGGAGCACGTGGTGAACTACATGGGAATGTGGAACGAGAATAAACTTTATTTCATTCGTATGGAGTTATGTGCGGGAAGTTTGCGGAATATACTTGAATACAAACCCAAAGTGTTTAACAGAAACCCGGAATCGCCGATGAATTGCCTCGAGTTTTACATATCGTGCGAAATATTCCGGGAATTACTGGAAAGTGTACAGTATTTACACGATTTACGGCCACCAGTCATACACAGGGATCTCAAACCGGACAACATATTGTGGACACATCCGAGTGATGGCAACACCCGGAGCCGGTATTTTAAACTATGTGACTTTGGTTTAGCCAAATTGCACGACAGCGCGTTGATTAAGCACTCGGC